TACAAAACCACAGCGATATTCTAAAAAAACCCGCTTCAATCAATTATTTGTAGTCATTTATTAGTTCTCCAGTGAATTTTATCCCTCTCTATATTATTTTGTAACTACCGACGAGAAAGAAAGGGAGAGGGAGAGGAAGAGGAAGAGAAAAGGGAAGAGTCAGTCAGAAGGAGAGAGAGAGAGGAAGAAAGATGGAGATGGAAGAAGAGAAATCTAAGGACATAATGTTATTAGAGAGATGTGGGCTTTATTTATTCATTTATTTAGAGAGAGAGAGAGAGGGGGATATGTAGGGGTGGGGGGGGGGGGGGGGAGATAGTGATCAACTGCCGTGCCCCAGTTTATTTATGATACAAACATATTGCAGAAATGCAATGTCACGATTAGAAACGAGACAAAGTTGGTTGTCTTAAATAGCATTCCCGCCACAAATTCATAATTGCATTACCTATAATGCTGTAACTCAGTCATAACGTTTTAACGTCTGTGGATTAGTAGATTCATGCGCTCTTAATTCATGCGATATTTAAAGTTCATTCAGCACTTTTCTAAAATGCACTTTTTAACATTCCTTAAAGGTAATGTTTCCCTTTTGCAGTCGACATCAAATTCTGTAGAACCGTGCAGGAATGATGAATATGTTACGTATGTCCTATATGTGAAATTTAAACGTTAGTAGAGTCCTAGTATTGAAATTATGCAAAGAATTAAGTTCTAGACTTCACTGTCAGACACCATTGTGTGACTGACTGACGTCAACAAGGAAAGCGACCAATCCCTCGACTTTTTGTGTATTACCTTCGAATTCAAGTCTGGAATTTAGGAAGAGGGAATTTGAGAAAATCTGTTCATAGAGGGAATGAAAACATTTCGATACTCTCACTGTCTCTGTCTCTATGTCTATCCCCTCTCTGTGTATCTCTTTCTCTCTCTCTCTCTCTCTCTCTCTCTCTCTCTCTCTATCTCTCTATCTCTCTCTCTCTCCCTCTCTATCTCTCTCTATCAACCTTCCTATCTCTTTTGCGCTCGGTCCCTCTATCTGTAGTTTTATTCTTCCATCTCCACCTTTCCCCAGTTCCCCCTCTCTCTGTCTCTCTCTATCTGTCTGTCCATACATTCTCTTATTCTGTCAGGATCTACTTCATCCTTCTCCCTCTCTCTGTCTCTCTGCGTCTCCATCTCCCCTCTCTCTTTCTTTCTTTATTTCTCTTCCCCTCTCACTAACCCAGAAACTCATTAATCAGTTGATGCATCAATACATAATTTAATTCAGATTAGAGATTCTAAGTGTCGAATATAGAAGCCCCGGATAAAAGCATTTTTTTTCTTCGAACACTTTATTTCCAAGCAATACGGTATATTACGGACATCATTAGACCAGCAGAAGCGTAAACTATAGTTTTAAAGGTCTTATGTAACTTTCTAAAAGTAAGTCAGAAAAGTGCTTGAATTTCGATTAAGTATGTTCACAACTCTAATGTTTCTCAAAGATTTTCAAGAACGAACTTTTGAGAGAGAGTTCCCCTTATTCATAAAAAACGAATATTTCACTCGATAAATAGTTTAATATTCTTGGGGATAGTTCAAACACTCGAGATCGATTTTCATCATCGCAAAACACAAATACCGAACAGTGCCTTTAAGAAAAAAGGTTGCGTAAACTGACAAAGGAGAGGTATTCGTGATCAAGAAAAATACATACAGAGAGAAAGATTGCAAGTATAAACTACAGCCTGTGAGAGAATGTAGCTTAGGTTTCGATATTCTATCACACATCTAATCACACGTCCAATCGCTCCTTCCAGTTTATTCAAGTGCAGAATGATGAAATCATCGCATTAGAGTGCTGCGTGAAACGTATTGTGATGTTTGTGATGTATACATAAAGAACGTTGAGTCTTTTGTGGAACATTTTTTTAAATCATTTCCGATTCTAACGATTAATTTGTGTTTGCCTATTTGGGTTAAACGTGAAAGTAGTGCACGTGTGCTGTATGCTTTTTAACTCATGAGGAAGATAATGTATTTAGATATTACACAATACACATTCACAAACGCACACATAAATAAATACATACATTATGTACAGCGCTAATTGCTTGACACTTTAAGCGGTAAAATAATTAAAAGAAGGAAGAGGAAAAGATAATTCAGAGAGAGAGAGAGAGAGAGAGACAGACAGACAGACAGACAGAAAGATGTGAAAACGGTCAGACGTTTAAAGAACGCTATTGCAAAAACTATACCAAAAAATAATTCAACTCGAGGGCAACTACTATATGATATCGTAATCCGGTGACCCAGGTTCGAAACCAAGTCGATGCGCTAGTGACCTGTGGTAAGGCATTAATCCTCATTACCAGGTCCCTCGGAGAGGACCTAAAGCCGTCGGCTGTCTGGTTGCTTACTAACAAGCATTTATGCTTTCTTAGCAGTCAGGTAAAATAACCACCATCACCAAATATCATGTTCAGATCATGTGACATGTCATTATAATAATTGCTTATTGAAATGCGCAAGGCTATTATTGCCTCAAGCTTTTTTGTTTTGGTCTTTGCCAGCGTGTTAAAGAGACAATTTTATCTGATCTATTTTGCTTGGTTATGTAGAGAAGCATGTATTCATAATTATGATAAAGAACCTATAGCCAGTGCTACCATTCCATTTGAATGTACACAATAGACCAGCATTCCATAATACGATTATTGCTATTGTTACGTCCGATTACCCATCAAGCACTCTTTCTCACCCACGTAAAAATACAAACCCGAAACTGTGCGTTGGAAATGGAAAGTTGCTCCGTCATTGTAATGAACATTTTTTTTCTCCCTTCGACGAATGCTGTAAGGCTAATAGCTAGTAGAGTTTAATGAAATGTGATGGTCGCCATAGCAACAAACCAGAGAATCAAATTCGTCCGAGATGTATATATAATGTGAAACTCCTCTGCATGAAGTGGGCTAGAGGTCTAACATTGCTGCTTTCGTGTAAACGGCATCTACTGTATATTATGAACAGAGTCACTTAAGGGGAAGTCCTCCCTGATATTCAGTTGGATTGAATACAAATCAGAAAAAACGAGAGAAATAGATGAGAATTTTAGCATAAAAATAAGAAGTTTATGACTTTCTTTAAGTTGTAATCAATCAAAAACAACTCGTCATCGATGTGACGTATTTTTATAGGGCCTTTCCCATTTGCTCTGTTCAGAAATGAATTTAATTTCTATTTTTTAGCTATTGATAAAGGAATAGTATTTTTGTCTTACAGGGTTGTATAAAATCATATGTGCGATTATTACATATAAGGTGAATATATAATATTTTCTTGAAGAGAAAATTTACCTTTCTTGCTTTTGGTGTTGTATGGAGCAAATCGAAGAGGAACTCGCACGACTCACAGAGTTGGCAATTTGTGTTTGTCGGATTACATCTTTTAAAAAAAAGATAATCATACTTTATCGGATTTTGCTTAAACTATCACTGATCTGTTTTTATTTATTTGTTATGCTTCTGTAACAATCAACTTAATCTCTGGGTGGACTTCCCCTTTAAATTATTATACCACACAATTTAAAAGCGATCGTCTGGAAGGTTGGTGAAGCACAGTGAGAAAGTAGTTGGTGTTTTCCCCGCCAAAACGCATGGGAATAAGTCACTACTTCTGCATGGCTCGTTCCTTTAGCTTCCTGTCTTTTTGTCATAACTGCAAAATAATGATTGCTGAATATCGAGGTTGGGTTGAAGATAGAACAATCTGCAACCATTCGTCCTGGGGTTTTTTTGTATCAGAGAACATGGACGATTTGTTTTCTTCTTACTGAACATTTCAAACGCGGGACTATAGTTGAATGATACAGAAGCACTTAAGAAGTATACTAAGTGTTATATTCGACTCCATATCGCGCAGATATGAATACAGAAATGGACGAGATAAGTGTTCAGACACCTTTCACTTCTGCATAACTGAATAAAGTTGAATTGAATGGAAATTTATTGGTTTCTTCATGAATGTCATCATTTCAAACTTTTTCATGCGTATGAATATTATGTAATTGATACAATTTGTCATGTAGTACATAAGCAGAAAATGTATAACAAATAATGAAGTTAAAATGCTGAATAAATTATTGGCAACCATTTTGTTCCTCTATTAAGAAACAAATGGTTGACATTCAAGGACTTTCATTTCAAAGTAGCCTAAAGTTCCGAATAATGACAATGATATTTTCATGAAGATTATGAATTGAATTGAATATACTCGAAATATATTTCTTTCAAAACGTTAACGAAAAGGTTGAGTTGTGGGAAGAGGTGAAACATGATTTGTGAACGTTATCATCGTATTATGCAAGTGTGGAAGAAAATCAGATAAAAAATATTCCCATATACATTTTCTATGTCCAGTGCTTGTAACTTTACCAAGACTGGGCCAAATTTCTTATCATGTTGATGATTACAGGCCCTTGCAGTACACACCAATACTTATATGCTAGATGATCAACCTTTTCTGATCGATTCCACAACGTTTCTTTCACAATGCAATCGCATGACCAGAACTGAACTTTATCTTGAAAATGTCTGATCTTTCTTAAGACGATAGCTACATTGCAAGCAAATGTGGATATCAGGCAAATCAATAGATGAATTAATCCAATGTGTTCTTTGGTGTGATTGTGATTTTAATTAATGTTTAATATTCAGTATTCATTTATCTGCATTTTGTTGGCCTAAGCAAGTCATTTATATCATGATTTTTCTGTGACAAATCAGCCTATAGTATTATAATGAAACACAATCTACAAAACTCTTTTATCTTGGAGTCCATCCGGGGCAGTTTCCACAATTATAATGACGAGTTAAACTTTTTTTTCCATCTCTCTCTCTTTCTTACCCTCCCTTTCTTTCCCCTCTCTCTTACATTGTCTCACCCTCTCTCTCTCTCCATATTTCTCTCTCACTCTCTGTCTCTCTCTCTCTCTCTCTGGTCGATCATCTCTCAGCTCGTCCGTGATTTTAACGTCAAGGTGGCTATCTACCGAGAGAAACTCATCAGCATCGCCGACTTCGGGGACTGCTCGCATTTCCGACATGAAGTGCGCCGCTACAGACGGAAATGCCTGGAGGCGGCCAAGACTGCCAAGACCAAACTGTACCCACACATGCGAGGGTGAGTTAATGCAGGGGTCACAGATTTAAAGGTACACAATCGTGGGTACTTATTGGGTATTTAACACCATTCGGATAATATCCACCACGTAACGAATGTGACGGACAGAGTTTGGCCAACTTGATTTCACTGGGTCGCAATAATGGCGTATATTCTTTTGTTTTGTGCTTGCCCAAAATTGGCAAAATTCTGTGTATAGATGGCGCTGGTATTATGACATGCACCGCGCCCTCTATCAACCGCCCTATGAAGAAATGTCATCATCATTGAATTACCCCCGAACCCGAAGACTCTCCGAGAAACTGGGGATATCTCTTGGTGGGGCATCCAATTCGCTGTGTGCGAGATTTGTACATCCAAATTGTATTTCCACCACAGTGTCAGCGAATTATGACATACTGCACATTGAATCTGGCGACAGTACGTCTTTAAAACTGTGGGAATTTTCTTTGCGTATTGCGTCATAATTCGCTGACAGCTCACTTGGTTTCATTACCTATTAATGTATTTACAAATCTCACACGAAGCGAAACTCGCTGGCCCACCTGGAAATTACCCGAGCTTGCCTTCTACTCTCGGAGATCGTTCGGGAATTTGCGATGATGAGCTTTCCTTACTGGGCGGTTCTCCTAAAGATAGCAAATGTTTACTTTCGGTCACTGATAACACCCACTATCGGAAAACGCTCGGATGGTGTCGAATTCCCCATGACTAGGCCTGATAATATTGCCTTTAAGGAAAGACATGAAAGAAATATGAAGAAACACTAATCAATTTTAGAGGAAATTAGATGATGCATGTGAAGCTCACTTTCCCAATTTTATTCTATTCCTGGGCTGTTATGTGACAATGACGACATTATTTAACATTATTTTGATCAATTTTAGGATGAGAGTAAATGGTGAAATAAACACAACCTTATTAATTTTCAAATGCTTGTAAAGGCACTGAATTTGTTCAAAAACAAATGTGTTTTCGTTTAATTTGGAAAAGTGGGGAAAGTGTTTTTGCATTTCTGTGCTGAATGCTATTCGAACATGCGATTGTGTAAAAATATCCAAACTGCTGCACATTTTGAGTATTTGGGTTCCCGCGGCGTTTTCGATGTCGTCATGTTGTTGCAAACATTTTGAATTGTTCGCCGTAGCCCCACAAACGGCTTGTTTAGTCAAAGGCCTATATCTAACCAGAACAATGTGTCTAACACTATTACCTTGGCCAGTGCTGGGTGCCTATAAATTCAGTTAATTGTTACAATATAACAAAGATATTTTATATATATATATATATATATATATATATATATATATATATATATATTTTGTACATGTATGATGGATAAGGAAACATTATAAAGACAATTACCTAATTCTTAATTCCCCATCTTTTTCTCGTTTTTTTTCTTCTTCTCGCGACGTCGCGTGCATGCAGGTGTCGAACAAGACCGGAGTTCGAGAGGTTATTCATTCAGCTGACGGGCTGTATGGAGATGTATGTTAATGAGATGATTAAATCACTTATTCTTCTGCAGATACTACCCGTAGACGCCCTCAGAGGTATGTACACCAGTCATTTCACGTTTAATTGAAAATTCAGAGGTACACGTACTTGTCACCATTATGATATCGCCATCCATTATTGTTACCTCGATTTGACGACGGCCTACTGATAATCAGGAAAAGCTTGTCTCTGTATAGTTTTAAGAAAAAGGGTCAATACGTAGAAAAGGAAGAAAAATATAGAAAGATATACAGAGAGAGGGGGAGAAAAGAAAAGAGAAAGAAAGAGAAAGCGAAAAGGAAAGAGAAAGAGAAAGAGAAAAAGGAAGAGAAAGAGTAAGAGAAAGAGAAAGAGAAAACGAAAGAGAAAGAGAAAAGGAAAGAGAAAGAGTAAGAGTAAGAGAAAGAGAAAAGGAAAGAGAAAGAGAAAAGGAAAGAGAAAGAGAAAGAGAAAAAGAAAGAGAAAGAGAAAAAGAAAGAGAAAGAGTAAGAGAAAGAGCAAGAGAAAGAGTATGAAAAGAGTAGAGAAACAGCGAGAGGAAGAGAAGATGAAAGACAAAATGGAGAAAGAGAAAGAAAAGGAGAAAGTGATAGAGAAAGAGAAAGTGTATTAATGTTTTTCTTCAGAAGTAAATGAACAGATAGATTAAATAGAGTTAAGTGTAGTTAGGATAACTTTTTAAGAGTAGTATAAGTCCGCAAGTGCACTTCACGTTTTCCAAGTACTAGTGGTGATGACTATTTTCAATAGATATTGTAGTTAAGAAACCATTATTCGTCTTTAACGTAAGTTCCAAATAAAGCCATCGAAGAACTATTAAAAAAGAAATATTTATCGTTCAAAAATGGAAATCGGATCAGAATAACCTTATTCTTATATTTTCCAGACAGATTTCATAGTTTAAACCTGTTATTCATTGAAATAAGCAGATTTTCCCCCTTCTCAGTGACCTGATCAATGTTTTCCTCTTCTAGAGAAATATTTATTCTAAATACCTTTTAGTGAAGCGCTATGATAATAGAAGCGCGATTTGACATGCAGAAACAAAAGGCGTGTATGAAAATAGGTCACCCAACTCTTTTCCCGTCATTTTTTTCTTCAAAAGAAAAACATAGATATTCTTGTTTTCTCAAATTAAATTGCCTAAGGCATTTAATGTTCTCCTTCCTTCCTCTAAGTGCATCTTCGCTCTCATATTAATGTAAGAAACGCTAAAAATATCATCCTTAATACCCATCTTCTTGTGCCGAATGGGTACGTAATTAGGGAGCAAACTTCAAAGACGTTTTTATCGAGTTCTCTCTCCCTTATATTATTGTTATTATTTCAATCTAAACGCAAATATTTTGCCAAGCAGTTTAAATTAATTAAAACAGTGAAGATATAATTCCATGAATCCCCGAATGATATTTGTAACCATCTCTCTTCTTCTCATTCAGGTAAATGGTGTAATCGTAAAATATATATTTTTCGGGGTATACCTGTGTGTTTTTGCCGAATATTGGCATAATCAATATCTCTATTTTCGTTATCTATAAATAGAAAAGTAATTTCGGACATAACTTTAGGTACGGAAGGCAACGATTAGTATGGGGCTGTACAAAATAAATAAATACAATTTCTACCCCCAAAAAAAGAAATCCTAAGATTGAAAAAGAACATCATTTGCAGGTCTGGCGGGGAGGGGTGTAAACGCGTGTGCACGTGTGCACATACAATTTCTGAAGCGTCGGTTTTCAATACTTAATTTGCGTGAAAGAGCTGCCCTATATGGTAGTTTTTCGGCGGTTGTTGTCCGGCGGTAGTTGGCCTGGGCGTGGAGTTGTCCAGTGGTAGTAGTCCGGTGTTGGTTCAACCAGACTGCAGTTTTCCTATAGAATAAAATAGGCCTACCAATGCTTCTTAGTTTTTGAATGTAGGACAACGGTGCCTCTGACAACCGCATTATAAGACAACCGCACAGTATCACACAATGTTATTCACGCAGTTATACCTCTTCATATCACCTTGCAGACACATTGTTTTGGCCGACATATTGAATTCGTAATCTGTACAAAGGACAGCATCAATTTGAAGATAACTAGTATGGACTGTGCTGTAGTGTTAATAAATGTAATTTATCATCGTAACGTGTATTTAATGTAGTTTTTTTTTTATAACAAAGCTAGAAACTAGAAGATCTGGTAGGACTGTATACTAATGAAGCACATGTATGAAGTAATGAGTAACTACCATACTAAGTTATTGCCTTGTCTGAATTCGATTTCTTGTATTATGTTTGTTATATACAGTAACTGTTTTAAAGAGAAGGTTCAGTTCTGGGAAGAGGTGAAAGATAATTTGTGAGCGTTATCATTCTTATTATGCAAGTGTGGAAGAACATCAGATAAGACATGTTCCCTGAAAAGCATGGCTCTTCAAATGCCTTCATATTCTAAATATGTCATGTAACATCGTAAAACGCCAGGGTAGGATTTTTACGCCACGTGTTCGTGTAGTCCCATATACATCTGTCTGTGTACAGTGTTTGTAACTTTACCAAGACTTGGCCAAATTTCTTATCATTTTGATGATTCCAGAACCTTGCAATACACACATATTCTTATATAATAATAATAATAAAGTAATTTTTATATAGCGCATTATAATAAATTCTCTATGCGCTTTACAACAATCAAATATACAATAAATTACATGATTGATCTAAAGATTTAATTATACATGAATTAACAGAAATACATATCGTATACAATGATGACAAAATAAGATATAATATAAATGATATAAACTTATGAACACAATTATAATAGTTAAATAATTACGATATTTTATTGTAAGGAAATAACATTATTTGACATAAACTAGCATATATATAATTACAGACTATTGGGTGAACATAAATGTTTTCAGAAGTGATTTGAATGAGTCGACTGTCGGGGCGTTACGAATATTGAGGGGGAGGTTGTTCCATAGAGTGGGTCCATAGTAGCTGAGGGATCTTTCGCCGTAGAATTGAGTATGGGTGCGTGGGACTTGTAGGAGACTTTGTTGCTGAGATCGGAGAGTGCGGGCAGGAACATAAGGATGGATTATCTCACATAGATATGAAGGGGCTTTGCCGTGGAGTATTTTGTATGTGAGAAGTAGAACTTTGAAGTCTATTCGTTTTTTTACAGGTAACCAGTGGAGACGAAGGAGGATGGGTGATATGTGGTCTGACCGTTGCTAGATGCTAGATGACCAACCTTGTCTGGTCGATTTCACACCGTTTCTTTCACAATGCAATCGCATGACCAGAACTCAACTTCATCTTTAAAGTAACAGGATTTCATGGAAGACCAGATATATTATCACTGAATTAGCTACACTGTTCTTTTAACCCTAAAAAGGCCGGGCTATTTGAGGTCTTAGTACGGCCGGGGGGGGGCATTATGGCCCCCCTTAAGATCTCGGCCGCGAAGCGGCCGATCGCCGCGAAAATTTGCACGCGTGTCAAGTAAAGTGTATAGAAGAATATGATAATTTCAATTTTTTGAAAAATTTACTAATTTGCATATTTATGGTAATTTATGCAAATAAAGTCATAAAAATCATATTTTTACTCATAAATCATATATTATCATATTTAAGCATTGTTTTTTTTCACTACATATATTCATTAGACCATTCTGAATAATAATACGACAAAAAAATATTGAAGAGCCAGCTTATTCCTTATGTTATCCCTTGTTTTGATAATTTCTTATGTATTTCATTGTTTTTTTAACTTATGTATTTCATTGTTTTTGTTGTTTTATTTCATTTCTTACTACAATTCAACTATTTTTAGTCCCCAAACAACCATCTAAACTTTAAACAAGACCCAATAACCCATGTTTGATCTGTTTTTTAGGAAAAATGACTTTTCCATATGTTTTGTACACAAACCACGAAAATGAGCGATTTTCGGGCTGACATGCAAAGACAAAAGGTCACGTGACCTTGTAACCGTAGGTCCGATTTTCAAAAAAAATTCTTTAAAAAGTTGCGCAAGACTCGAAAGAAAAAAGTCAGCGAGCGGTGTGGCGCCATCCATATATGCGTTCCCGAGTAATCACAAAAATCGTGGAAGGGGGGGGGGGGGCATAATGGCCCCCGGCCTTATTAGGGTTAATGTGGCTGTGCACAGGGGAAACGCGCTTTATTTCGCATGTCACGTGTTTTTAATTTTACTTCGGATCTGAATTTCGATGCGATTGCCCCCTCTCTGTTTTACTAAACGATTTTAGATTTTTGAAATTTTACGTGGTTGTGAAACGCTCTCTACACTCTGATAACTCAAAATGTTAATTTTTCCGTTAAACAGACGGAGGAGTGACAAAACATTAAAACAAAAATAAACTTTTAACATGCTGGATCCAGCATGTTGAAAGTTGAATCCAGCATGTTTAAGGTGTTGCTATGGCATTTTGAAGAATGTTGTTACTCTTCAGCTTTAAAAAAAAAAAAATTCATTTAACATTTAAGTTGTTAAAGTTTAACCATATATCCTTCCGCTTCAAAAGAGGGAGGAAGAGAGAGAGAGAGAGAGAGAGAGAGAGAGAGAGAGAGAGAGAGAGAGAAGAAGAAGAAGAAGAGAGAAGAAGAAGAAGAAATTAACGTACTAGGCCTACCTTGAAAAATTGAAAACAAAATTCTACCATAATACTGCAATACTTAAATCCTTTTTGCAGCCAACATCATCTTCTGTAGAACTTTGCAGGAATTACGAATATGTAATGTATGTCCTATCTGTGAAATTTAAACTTTAGCAGTGTCCTAATATTCAAATTATGCAAGGAAACCCGTTTAATTGCTAGACTTCACTGTCAGACACTATTGAGTGACTGACTGGCTCTTTTCTTCTTTGGTAAAACGAGCTGTAAAGGATACATTAGCATTTGTCTACATCAATAACGCACTTCTTGTAATGGCCAAAATTAAACTGCTTGAATCTTTGTGCAGCACAAAACGTATACCATTCGGTACAATGATCTGAAAATCAGACTATTACTTACTGACTTGGTAGCACTTAAGT